CCCCGTGCCAAAATGGTTACGTGCCTGGTTCTGTGTATCCATGGCGATGGCGCTGTTTGGCATCTGGCGCGCGGTGACTCACGTGGGTGTCACCTTGCTGCATAGCTGAAGGCTGCCGATGGTTGGTGTGGGCCTTCTGAAACCATCTGGTGACTCACACACTCCATTCCTCGTGGAAAATGGCTGTCACGGGGCTGAGATCATGCTGGAATTGATCTGTCACTTCTTGGCTCTTCAGAGGTGGAGGTGAGGGCTGAAGGAACGCATAGACAAAACGGTCCTTCCTCCCACCAGGCTGCTGGCTAAATTTCAAGGTGTTTCAACCGCGGCAGCACCCCCGTCTTCCAGCTGCACCCATACTGACTCAGGCTCCCTGAGACACTGCGTGCACCCAAACCTGTGCTGGGACGGCTCGTCCTAGGGGAAGGAGGAAGCCTGAGCTCACAGCAAAGGCCTCAGCTGAGCAGTGCTGGGAGGGCAAAGGGGGAAAGGGAGGTTTTGTGCGACTTTACCGGATACCTCAGTGGGTTAAGTTATGGCAAATGGGATGGTCTTTGCATCTCCGTCAGTAGCTGTGTGCACATCCAGGTGAGTCACAGCATCAGCCTCCCACATCGCCGCTGCATCTGGCTGAGAGCCGTTAGGGTGGGACTCATACGCTTGGAAAAAAAGGAGTGATAAGTGGAAAGGCTGCGATTTTGCTGCCTCTGCTAATTTCTATCTACTGGGTGCACAAAGGATTTCCTGCTGTGGAGCTGTTAATCAGACAACTCTTGCTAGCAGTGATTACGAACAATGCTCGCTGTCTCCACATCGCAACACTCCCATGTGATGACAAAGCAGAATGATTTTTATGGAGAGCCTCTGGGGAAGGTCTCTGTCCCTTGTCATTCAAACGTCATTTGTGTACCAGACCTGCAGCAGGTTTTTCTAACCCCACAGAGAGTGCAGCTGCAGCATTTATCGCCATCTCCAAAAAAGTCACCAACAGTTTCCAAAATGCAAAACATTTTATTACAAAAATAATTTACTGCCTCTTATATACAAACCACAAGAACATTCACTTATAAAATACTGACATCTGAACTCACTGTGAAAGCTGTAGACAGAAGGAGCGAGCTTTCCAGACATGCTACATGTGCAACCAGCTGTAACTCAAGGAAGGAATGTTTTGTTCTGCCGCTAAAGTAGCTGAACTTTTTTCTGCAGTGTTTATAGTGGGTCACATTGTCATATAAATGGAGTTAAGCTGACAGCCTAAGCCATCCTCAATATTGTGAAAAGCACCCACATAATATATAAGATGAAGTTAAGATGAAGTCCCTGGTGTTCATGCCACATTATGGGCAATAGATTTGGCTACTCTTGAGTAATCCATTGCTCTGAGAGAAATCCCATTGCATTTTTTGGCATTATGGAGAAAAGATAAAATTCAGTCTAAGAAAAGGTAGAAGGGGTAAGTTTGACTGTTTGCACACCCTTTAAGCTTTTAAACTGGCCTTCTCCCTGTTAGCGCCCGAGGAAAAGACTCTTTATGAGTATTTCTAAGATTTCATGCACAATAGACATACACTGGGACTTCACTAGGACCTTACTCCATGGTGTTTGCACTTGGTAGTATCCAGATAAGTGATTTCGCTGAAGATATATTCATCAGCCTGCCTAAATACTAAATACTGCAGATTCAAGCCATTTGGACAGTTAGTTGAGGTCAAACCTCATCTAATTGGAGTTAACAGCAAAACACAGATTGATTTCAATGGAGCCAGGTATTCACTGAGTGAAAAAATGTGGACCAGGCTCTAACCGGATTTATGTTGTGTTGCAGGACTGGTGCGTTTGCAGGCAGCTGAGCAGCTCTGGCTACAGAACAGGGAAACAAACCTGTCGCACACACGCGCGCATGTACTCCCTGCAACAGCCCGCCTCTGAGACTGGCACAGACCAAGCAATAGCTGCTGTAAACATCTGCTGAATCAAAGTGAATTGTCTGCGTGTTCTGCATTCTAGCTGAAAATTACAGCCTCTGGAGCTGTTCCCCAGGCTTAACGAAACACACACAAAGCCAGTTCCCTGCAAAGTACAGAGCACCTGCCTCACTAAACCTTGCTCCCAGATTCACTTTGCCGCCCTCTGACACTTGACTCGGGGAGCAGGCGACGTCTGTGGGGTTGACAGCCGAGCGCAGTCCCTCAGAGCGCCATGCGCGACGAAGGAGCCAGCTGCCTGCTGGTTATTTCATACAGCATTTCCGTGATGAGCTCGACAATATCTGCATTGCCGATGACTGGCCTGAAGAAGAGGTCTGTGATGAGTGCAGGAGGGATAGATTTCAAGGTGGAGGCAATCAGCAAGATGCGGGCAAAGCGACCCTGGTCCTCGGGGTGCAGGGGCCGCAGGACTTCTTGCAGCGCTCTCTGGGCTTCCCGCTGGAGGCTCTCAATGTACAGGGAGGCCCTCAGCCCCGGGACATCTATGGAGAGAAAGGAGGAAAAAGCCAGTGAAGAAGGAGGCTGCACAGCAGCTCCAGTTTCTACTATTCCCATCCCTTCAACTACCTCTGAAGGGACTCCGAGTGCCACATTAATTAAATGGACGCAGCACTACTAAGACGTAGCCACTTTGGGGCTGCTGAGTAGCAGCTTTGCTTTGAGGGAGCAAAAATAGTTAACAGGGTAAACCCATGCTTGGCAAAATAAGTCCTGGGGTCCTTACTGTCTGCAGGCTAGGCAAGGTCCCTGGATTTTAGCACTACATTCAACATCTGTCCTCCCCACTTCCCAACAGTAAACGGCATTATGTAATACTAGGTATCCATGATAAGATAACCAGCCCTCTTCTCCTCTCCCGTGCACAGCTCCTCCTGCCCGTGCTCTGAATCAGTCCAAGCCACGAAATGTGTTTCTAGATGCTCATGCTTGCGGGGCCTTCTCTCCCCACCAGCAGATAGGGCTGTGAGGCTTCAACACTCACCAGGATTAAAGAGAATGGCGCCCTTCAGGTAGGCATACTCCTTTGGGCTCAGATCCAGTCTCCAAAAGGTGTTCAGGCAGCACTGCAGCCGCTGCACCGCGGCCAGCGTGGGTTGCATCCGCTCGGGCTCCTGCTGTTTGCTTTGGCCATCGAGAAGGATCTTCTTGAGCATGCTGGGGGCTGGGGTCTCCATCACCTCAAATGTCACCATCTCCTGGACCAGCCCCAGGAGGAAGAGGGGGACCCAGCAGCTGTCCAGCAGCAAGAGCTGGTCCTCTCGGGGCAGCAGTTGGAAGGAAGGCAGGTTTTTCATGAAGCTGACGGTTTTCACCAGCACATTGGAGGCCGCCTGGCAGGTGACGTGGGGCGTGCGGAGGCAGACGGTCCGGCGCTGGTGGCACAGGCAGCGCTGGTGGGCTGGACTGCAGCTGACCCGGCTGTGGTTCAAGTTCTGGCTGAGGAGGGTGTAGAGGATGGCGGTGCGGTTGTCCTCGCTGTGGCACTGGCACCTCTTGCAGTCCACGTCCATGCTGCTGGTTGTCATAGCCGAGCTGGGTGCCTGGATCCTCAGCAAAATTCAGCTCCTGCTGCAGCAGAGGAGGGAGATCCGTAAAGCAGAAGGGCACTGTCACAACCCCCTGCGTCAATCAAAGCTCCCCGGGCACAGTCTCTCCTCCCAGCTCTGCCAGCCCATAGCTGTTTTAACCAGCTCTTCTTATAAGGCTCAGTCACAAGTGAAACACCCCTTCATAGCCTTGACCGCTCTGTGATTAAGCGGTCCTCATTAAAAAAAAAAAAAACAGCCATCCCTGGACTGATTGGCTGGAACAAACGAGTTCTCCACATGGCGTCAATGGCCGTTTTCTCAATGAAGTGCCAGCGGGGCCAGCAGCGCGGGGACAGGACAGCAGGTTGGGCGGCCTTATCACGATTACCCAAACAGTTTAAACAAAGTCATTAACCCAGCCTGTACCATGGCACCAAGGCCCCGCCGTGTAATCAGGCAGCACTATACGGCAGGTGTCACTGCCAAGAAGTTCACACACACACACACACACACACACACACACACGGCACTCGTCTGGAGCGAGGACCCTGGTGCAAACGGCCTGCATGCTCCGGCCTTGGGAAGAGCAACCTGGAAGTCGTTTTATCAGCAGATGTTTGCCCAACCTTGTTGACAAGGGACTCATGTTGTCACAGTTAAGGACGAGAAACCCAGTGAACTAAAAAGATTATAGTATTCAATCTGAGGCAGGGCCCAAAGGATCTTGTGTCACAAAGGAAATACGAGGCAGGGCAGGGTCAGGTTCTTACATTTTTGCCTTGAATTGCCAGATGGTTTTATCACTTGATGAACAGAAGTTGGTCTAGAAAAGTCTGGCCGCACCTGGTTACTTATTTCAAGGGGTCCAGCAACAAAGTGAGGAATTTCTATGGCAGGAAGGAGCCAGTGAATCAGAAGACCTCACCCTCCTTAGGGTTAAGGCACCTCATCCCGAAGAAAGGCTGGCTACAAGACCCGTGCTGTAAATGGAAGGGAAATCCTACGTAGGGGGGCGTGGGAAGAGTTGCAGGAAGACCTAAAAGAGCCAAGAGGCAGGCAGGGGCCGTGCACGGAAGAGAGCAGCGAACACAAGAGAAGGTGGATCCTTCGGTCCCTGCAGATAAGCAGATCCCCGAGGGCGACCGGGCCGGCTTCTTTGCAGCTCAACGGCAGCGCTCCACAAGGCTGCTTTCCGTCACCTCCCTTCACACCGGCTGAATTTTAAGCCTCCGCGCCCCGGTCAAGAAAGCGCTGGGACGTTTCCTCGCAGCCCTGGCGGA